AGATACAGACTGTTAAAGTTGGAAGTATTGATTGTTTTTTTTTTATGATTACGAATTCAAATACAAAGGCTATATTCCGATTTCAACTGGTTAGTACTATCAGTAAATCCACTGACTCCGCTGAAAATCTGTGATCCGAAATATATAATCAAAAATACAGAGCTGTAATTCGGAACATGTTTTCATGTTTTTCATCAATAATCAGCAGCAGTTGATCCTCTGTTGAACTTTGTCAGTTGTCAGGTTGTCACTTATGTTTATGTATAGTTTCTCATTCATCTGAAGTAGATAATATTCTCAGCGTCAATTTTTTTGATAACAGGTATTTTCTAATATTAAAAATTATATTATCAATTTATTATTGATAAAACAACTGAAATAAATATGATATTCCTTCCCCCTCTAAAATAATCAGTTTACTGAAGCCACACTACCTTTTAATTCAGCAATTTTAGCAGAATGTTGAGCCAAAATATTTGGAATGAATGGTATGTCTGCTCAGAAGTATCTGTCAACTTCCAGTGATTTTTTTTTATTTCGGAATGAAAAATCAGCAGATTCAGTACTGTCAGTTGAATTCGGAATATAGCCAAAGTCTTAATTTCCTTCGACTGAAAAACATCAGTATAGCCATTGTCAGTAATGACATCACTAACAAAACTAACAAAACATTATCTAGGTACATTAAACATGTTAATATTTGGTTTTCAAAGAAATCTTCCAGGGAGTAAAAAGGGTTTTCTTTCAATAAAATTGTGATTTTTGACTTGACCTTTTTGAAGCAGCTAATCTGAGCGATGGTAAGAGATAAGTAATAATTGTATTGGGAATCGAATCAATTTTCCATTATTACCTCAGAAACTAAGTGATATCTAAAAATTCAATAGGAGACAAAAAAGTTGTATTTTCATTTTTTCAATTTGAAAAAAAATATCTAACTTAGAGAAAACTATGACGTAGTACCTTATTTACCATAAATATCGAAATGGTAACCCACTGCGAAGCCACTGGAATCATTATTTCGAATCGAACAGAATTTTGATTAACTAATAAAAAACGAAGTATTTCTGGACCTATGTTTGTATGAAATTTTTGTCTTAGAATCACCCGAATAATCACTCCTTGAAGTTTGGCCACATACTTGAATTGCACCTTGTATATGATAAAAAAAAGTTTAGAATAACTCACAGCTTATTTTTTAAGACTGACATAATTTATTTCACTAGTAAAAATTGTTATGAATGATAGCATTCGATCTTGGAATAAAGATGAAGATGTAGAGATCATGGATTGTGACATAAACACATGATCCTTATAATTTTCTTATTCGATAATGATTATTTTTCATGTTATTTTTCATCAACACCCAGAATATTGATGATCCTGGAGCAAACAGTCGGAATAATCGAAACTTCAACAGATAGGTGGGTAGAAAACATATATTAATGAATTCAATACCAATATAATGTTGAAGTCACTCATTATGGACATAGTTCAATTTGGATATTGACAAAATAATCATATGAAATAAATCAATTTGTGCTGCTTCTATATTGAGGCATTTCTTTAGATTCCTGAAGATATCAACAGATATCCCATTTTGCCTTCCAAATTGCTGAAGTTTCAAACAATTATAAAAGAAAATAGAAAAAGGGCTATTTTCAATTCTCTCGAGAATAAAATTGAATTCTGAGGTTCTTCACATAATATCTTGCCATCTAACTTCACTTTTTACCTCTTCATTGCCATTTTTTCAATTTATCCCCATACCAGTGATCACGTGATATAAGGCATGCATAATAGATCCATGAGAAAAATGTTTTCAATAATTCAGTAAAATCGTCGCAAATAAGGGGGGTTACCTTGCATCAAATAAGGTAGTTCTGATTTTTTGATTATGTTGTATGTGATGGATGGCTAATGATGAATGTAAGTTTTCGACCTCGAGAGGCCACCGGATCATTTTGAAATTCTAGGAAAACCGCAAAATTTTCGGATTTTTCTCAGTTTTTATCAATTTTGACCCCTGAGGACCCAATTTACGTCAAAAGTGACTATGTATTGTATTGAAGTAGACTGAATTTGAAATAAAATGAGACAAAAATGGTTTCTGTAGATCCAATACTTTCCGAGATACAGCTAATTGAAGTTTTGATGATGTGATATCCAGTTTCGACCTATCCACTATTTCAAATTTACAAGAACAGGAGCAATTTCAAGCTCTTCGAACAGAATTCACCAATGCACTTTATACTTTCAAACATGATGGTCTAACAGCAAAGCTCTGGTCGCAATATATACGAATGGTTACTTTGGTTAAACAATTCATTGAGGCAGAGCTGATGGGAAACTGGGATCTCCATCTCGATACCATCCAAAAAATGCTGCCATTTTTTCATGCCAAGTGCACCCACATGTATCTTCAAGATATGCTTGTATTGAAAGAAAAAATGGATCCTTTGAAATACAAACTATTCACGAGTGAAGGGTACTTTATCATCCGACGCACCAAGAATTTCTGGTCAGGAATATGGTCGGATATGACTATAGAACAGGTCCTGATGAAAACTATGAAGAGCTTTGGAGTACTGACCAAAGGTCGGGGAATCATTGACAGTGTTCTAACCAGATGGATTTAGGAATGGTGTACCTCCAGAACATAGGTGTGACGTTACGACTGCAACTTCTGAACAGCACGTAGATATGCGACCCTCCCGCCTTACGAGAGACGACAAAGATACAGAGAAACTGCGTAACTGGTTTTCTCATCATCCTCCATTTCCAAAGACAAATTTCTTAATGTCATTGAGTAGTGGACTTGAACCTGGACTAGAACTTTTTATTCACGCCTTCAGTGGTTGTGACACTATATCAACACTTTTTGACAAGGAAAGATGAAATTTCTTTCAACATTGAAAACATCTGCACCTCAAAGAGAACGTTGCATTCTTCCTCGGCCCAAATGCCACTCCTGAACAGGTAACCAAGGCAGGAGGAAGCTTCCTTGTTTTATTATATGGAGGCAACTATAAAACTCAAAACCTCAACGATCTTCGGTTCCAGTTGTTTGCAAGGACGGCAGCAAGAACTAATTTCAACTTAGCCAGATTGACTCCAACTCAGGATGCACGATTCCACTCTCTTCGGACATATCACCAGGTGAATTTATTTTTATTGTTTTTTCGCAATTGATAATTTTTGTTCTACTGCAAAAAACATCACTCATTTCTACTGATACTATCCATACCGCTCATTACTATCATGCTGTTCTATAACTTAGTTTTTTTGGTTTCATAAGTTCTTGATTTGATTTGTTTCAGGTGCAGAAGTGTTTGGGAGTAGAGAAGGATTCACTCGATTGGGGCTGGATGCGCAGTTCTCAGGGCCTCATGCTGAAGCTCATGAATAATGAACCAGCTCCCCAACCCCTAATGAGAATGATTTCCTGCAACTGTTAGAAAGGTTGCATCAACACTTGTGGGTGCAGGAAAGTTGGACTGAAATGCTCAACTGTTTGCACGCATTGCAGTTTCCAGTCATGCAAAAATGTGCCACAATTGATGTGTGATGACATCAACTTCCCATATATCGATGACCCTCCATCTGACGACGAGTTCGACCTACCTAAAGAAGATTTTTTAGATGATTGAGTGGGGAATGAGAAGGAAACTTATTCAGCAGCATCAACACCAAATCTAAGGCACAACTTGCTCCAGACTCGAAAAATATTGAAAATGAGAATTTTCCTGCAATACATACATACAATCATCATGTCAATGACTTATAACAAATAACCTTCCCATAATATGTTCATGATGTATGTATACTTATATTCCTTCATTTCACAAATCCTTCTTCTCTAATTTGCAACCTTCGTTTACTTTGAACAGCTGTTTCTCAGAGAATATTTGGTCTTTGTTGATCATTCTGGACTTGTTTTGCTGTGAATTTACTATACTCGAAATATGGATTTTGTCAAATTTGAAAAAAAAATTATTCTTAAGTGTCAAATGGGCTAACACCGGAAAGAAAGTGTAAAATTGGATTACTTTGTAAATTTTTCGAATACTCGAACAGCTATACTCAACAGCTATACCTCGGAAACTATTTGGTCTACAGATATTATTTTTGTTCCATTTTGTTGTAAATTTCGTATAGGTACTTTAAAAAAATATAGAACTACTTTCACCATACCGTGGGTCCTAGGGGGTCAAAATCGATCAAAACTGAAAAAAAAACAGAAAATATTGATGTTTTTCAACTATTTCAAAATGATCCAGTGGTCTCTGGAGGTCGAAAACTTAGATTTATCATAAGCCATCCATCACATACAACATAACAAAAAATCAGAACTACCTTATTTGATGCAAGGTAAAATGTACCATTTTACTGGACTACAATAAGCTAATATTAAACCATTTCATATGTTACTGACTTTATTGATGATACTGTATATCCCTGCCTTTGTTCACTGGGAAAGGGTCAGACGTTTCGTGCTTTTTGTTGAAAGCAATTACTGTCAAATTGAGTGTCCCTCATTTCAAATAATTAACAATTGAATAGGTTATTGATATGATAGACCAAACAACAATGACAGTGGCGCATATTTTATTCACATTTTACATTTGCGTGATTTAATAATAGCCAACCTCATGATACAAAATGTCAACCCTTGAAAATATAGGCAATTGATCATGAAACCTAGATTACTTTTGTAGAATGTATATCGTGCATATTACTTCTTATCAATCAGTAAATTGTCAGTTTAGAATTGAATTTATTTATTTTAGAATTTATAGGTAAAGGTGTTTAGCTAAAATTTATAATACTCAAATGTTTCGAAAGTACCAATGATTCATATCTTTTTAAGTCAATTTAGACTGTGGAGGCAAGCAAAATACTAAGCCAAGAGAAAAATCACTTCAAGAGAATACATCAGAAAGAAACCTCCCCATTTTAATCCCCATTCAGTAGACGTATTAAATTAGAAAAATAACGGGATGTTCTAAAAGATGATGCATTTTTTTACAGGATGTAGAATTCATTGAAATATACAGATCCATAAAATACCATATAAATAAATCAATAAAAGTTGCATAATAACGGAGATATAAACAATTGAACATTTCATATATATCAAAAGAATTTCATTACGGTCCTCCACACGAGTTTCTGTTCGGTGATTAACCAGACACTACCGTCCACAGTAGAATGTTGTTTGTCAAGCGCTAATCATCGGATCCTCTAAGTCAATTGTTTTTTTTTTAATTTTCACACAATGCATCACGTTAACAAACATAATGAACTTTTTTACATGCTTTTGTTTTATGGTGAGTGTCGCCAAGGTTCCACAGCAGCAATTCGTTTGTACATGAACACATTTCCATTAAGAAATCATCCAACACAGCGAATGTTCGTTAATTTGGTACAAAGGAGTCGTGACACAGGGTGTTTCAGATAGTGTGTTGAGGCCAAGAAATAGGGAATAGTTGCGACAAATAAACAGTTTGCAGACATATACCACCAGAAGAACTGATGAGAGTTCAAAATAACGTAAAAAAGGGATATGAAAAGTGTATAGAGAATGAATAAGGAGATTTGATCGAGAATAGAAAAATCTGAACTTCTTAGGAATACTTGCTGTGTTGTTCTTTGTATAGTTTTTTATGTTATTTTTTGATAGACAGCATTTAATTTCTGTTTGTTTCTTAGTAAAACATCTACATTTTATGTGAATTTATTAGTTATTAATGTGGGATCGCAGTGTACCACCCTGTGAAGCACCGAAATTCTAAAAAATCATTATACATGACTTGTAACGTTGATAAAAAACACCTCATATAAAATATTGCTTTGGAAATGATATAGGATTACTTGTGAGGAATCGATTGAGTACATCAAAATTTTTGTGAAGAAATGCATAATCCGTTTTCTTCAATTTTGCTGGAGTTTTTGTGATTGCAGTAGGCTAAGATATTGATAATTTTTGTTTGCTCGAAAAAAGTAGATAATTTTTAGTAGTATACCGTGCGGAAATAAATTCCAAATCGCCCGTTAAGCATACGAAAGTAGGTACAGCAGTGGGGTGGAGCAAATTGTAACACACTGTATATGCAACTTGGAAAAAGCCAGATACTCAAAGTGGAATGCAATGGTCACAAAGAGAGAGAAGTGGTAATGACTTTGAGTTTCTCTCTCTTTGTGACACTGTATATGGTCTTTTGAAAGGGGTATGACGTCATCGAGAGCTGGCGTTTTTCGAAGGTGTTGATTTTAATTATTGAAATAAAATGTTTGTGATGATTTAAAATATTGCATCAAATTCTATTTATACACAGAATGAACAATATAAATTTTGCATGTGGCATTCTATTGGTGTTTTATTATTATTATGCGACTTTTATATGGTCAATTGGTGATTTTGTCTATTTCAATCAGTTCTACATCCTGTTAAGAAAAATGCCCCACCTTTGAGACCACTTTGTATATCAAACCACCCTGAAAATGGCTGGGAAACACACAAAGCCTCCTCGTATCTGAACTAGACCCACTATATCCCCCACGAAAAGTCATACATTAATCGGCAAAAGCTGGACAACAGAGGAAGTTATGGCACACGAAATAAACGGATTATCGAAATTAGACAACACTCACCGGCATAGGCATGGGATATTGCTGGGGCATGTAGATAGTCTGTGCTGGGAACATCATAGAAGGGTAAGCGGCAGTCTGGGGTGGGCCGGTTTGTGTCGGATACACTGCAGGAGCTGAAAGATTCACCAATATGATCATCCAAGTCCAAGACTTACACTATATTAAAAGGAGAGGAAACATCTCTTTTGTGCATCCCTATCCCTACTAATACAGGGTTTCTATAAATGATCGTAACATCGTAGTAGCCGTTGAAATATGTTCTCCATTTGCCGCCTTTCATTTATGGAGATTCACACATTCGAATTTAATTTCTAATATCAATCATTATACTGTCATAGCTGATGAACTCACAATTGCCAGTTTTTCGTTAAAATTTCCAAACGTTTCTGTTGATTGTCGTGTTGAAAAGAGGGATGATTTATTCCTCGGAGCAGAATACATTTATTGTAATGTCTTATTGTCGAAATGGCACATTCATCAATGGTGGATGGAGTTACTCGGTAGTAGCCTGCAAGGATGAGTACCTGGCGAAATATCCTAATGTACAGATTCAGTTTTCTTTGAAAGCCCACACCAGAACAGTGATCAACAGATTCATCGAAACTGGAAACGTTAATAAAAAGAAAACAACAGGAAGGCCCCAAATATCGGAAAAAGTTGTCGAAAATCTAGGGGCACGTGTTGAGCAAAATCCCCAAACGTCATTGAAGAGATTATCTTTACAATTTGGTGTGCCACTAAGTACATGCCATTAAGTCCTCAAGAAAAGATTGCATATGCACCCTTACAAGACCATTGTACTACAGCAACATCTACCAATAGATATCCCACGTCGTCTGGAGTACTGCTAATGGTTCCAAAATAATCTCACCGATACCCAGTTTTTGGACCTTACATTTTTCGGCGATGATACTTTCATTTGTCGGGATACGTGAACTCACAAAATTTTAGGTTTTGGAGATCTGAGAATCCCCACAATTTCATTGAGACTCCACTACATTCTCAAAAAATTGGGGTGTGGTTAGCAGTTTCTCGTAGGCGAATATATGAACCGATTTTCTTCGATGGCATTATCAATGGTGAAAGGTACAGACAAGTTATGTTAGAACCATTCATCAATCAACTTGATGATGAAGCAATTCGAGTTGGCTATTTTCAGCAAGATGGGGCCACTGCCCACACCACATGTACAAATTTAGAATATTTACAAGAATTTTATGACAACCGTGTGATAAGTCGAGGAGTTAATCCTTCTTTTCCAACATGTTCTCCAGATTTGACGCCTTTGGATTTCTGCCTTTTTGGATATTTGAAAGACGAAGTATTCAAGAGAGACAATAACCTTGAAGAGCTGCAAGCCTCAATAACACATTGCTGCCAAAATATTTGCCCGGAAATGCTTGGAGAACAACGAAGAACATTTTAAACATTTGATGTAGGTTAATGAAATAAACCGTTATTTATTACTTCTTTAATGAATATTTTTGATTTGTTCCATTATTTTTCAAACTCCAATATTGGACTCTCCTTTCTTTGGGATACATTTCCATAGTGTATGCAAAACGATATAAAAAAAGATCCTGTATATGATGACTTCCTCTCTTTTTGGTCGTTAAATGTTGTTAACAGCATTAGTAGAAAGCGGCAAATGGAAAAAAAATGTCAACAGCCACTACGACGTTATCGGGAATGTAAGTTTCAAGTGTATTGGTGATTATCCAAATACAAATCCCATCGATTTTGAGAAACAAATTATGTTGCTCATCATACCGCAAGTTTGTTTTCCTAAATCAACAAAGTTTGTTTCGAAAAAGAGAAGGCATTTTCAATAATCAACAATGAACGAGTTGTATTTGTTGAGATCATTTCTGTGATTATTTCATGAATAAAACAATAATATCATGTCGCATTTCCATTTGCAGTTGGTGCGTTATGCAACTAAGGATACACGAATGCTCCAGACACAGGACGCACCAAATATTGTCACGCATTCTGCGTTCTGTCTAGACCTAGACGATCAAAGTTTGTCTAAAATCTTCTAATAATATTATAAATGTGAATTTAAGTTTGATTGTTATGCTTTCTCGTCAAAACTACTAAACCAATTAACATGAAACTTTGTATATATACAGGGTGCGGCATAGGAACCAAGTGTTTATGGTTTGGGTAGTACTCGGCCATTTAGAAATAACGGGGGGAGTGGTTTATTACTTACACAAACACTTCATTCCTATGCCCTTTCTTTAGGAAGTATGCAAGAAAAACATACTGACCAAAGCTTCTGAGAGGTGCAATAGAAGACTGTAAGTTATTGTACAGGATGGGGCATAGGAATCAAGTGTTTGTGAAATAACAATAACGAACACGCGGCAACTGAGGAAGTGAAATGCTTCGAGTCCAGGAATGGATTGTAATAAACCAAGCGCCCCGCCCTTTTCTAATGACCGAGTACTACCCAAATCAAAAACACTTCCTATGTCCCACCCTGTATTTTTAGATGTATTAGAAATAACATAATTGTATGTATAACATTATGTATATTGTTAATGTATCCCTATTATAAACAACTATGTTTCGTGGGGTAATAAAGACAATCAATCAATGAAATCAGTAAAGTCAAGTCGTTGGTTTCAGAATCAACTTGTTGGCGAGACTCAAAGAAGTGAAAAACTCACGTTGGTACACAGGCTGCTGGCCGTTCATATCGCCAGGAGCGGCGGGATTGGGCTGCGGATAGTAAGCCACCCCGCCCTGGAAGTAGGGCACCGCCGCCCCGGGCGGAAAGAAAAAAGGGGCCGGATTGCCGGCCGCCACCGCCGTCGGACTGGAAGCGTCGAAGGCTCGGCTGAAAGGCTGGACAATAAAAGAGAGAATGCATTATTTTGACTCTTAATTATAACAAATCTTCATATCAATCAATCAATCAATCAATCAATCAACTTTATTATTCCCAAGAAACAATATGTATATTTCCAAAAGATCAGTCAATATTTCGAATAATGCTATAACTTTCAACAATAGATTAATTAAATATACAGACGTGACAAAATTTTTAGGTTCCTATATCGACGAAAAATTATTATGGACTAAACATATAGACCATTAGAGAAATAAAATAAATCCGATCATAGTTGCTCTTTCATTATTTTCCCTGCTATAAACATATATGTTTCTTGGGAATAATAAAGATTATTACTATTATAGGCATTTTATTCAAACTCCGAAATCTTATTCCCAGAAAATACTTGAAATGTATCAACTTTTGCCTCATTTATTCAAATTTGCAGTATTTAATTTCTATTTGGGGGAGTACAAATATTTCACGTCTGAAACCACTAATGAAATTACAAAGCAAATCAATCAAGTGCATTTTTCATCCACATTTTCTAGAACTAAAGATAAATTTATACAAACCAAGACATTTTCGGAACCTGATTTCGTTATATAAACTTGAAATATGTTGCTTTATTCATTTTGCCAGGAATAAATTGAAAATATCAAATTTAGCTTTTGATGAAGTAATTATGGGACTAGACAATTGAATTACTTGATAGCAAATACATTCAAGTCAAACATTGGCAAACAATCTGTTTTTCACAATGGAATAATTTTACTTGCTCAGGACAATTTGAATGAAAAATATGTGGCATGATTTGATTACTTACAAATGAAATATAACTTCAATCTTGAGAAACAATATTAATTCGTTTCCACCGAGTGGAATTCATTAGTTCGCCTCGCCCGATAACATTCACGACTTGTACCATAATGATAATAAATAAATAAATATCTTTATTTCCTTTAGACTTTCATTCTAGGACCTAGGATATTTGGTGTATTACTCAAAATATTTGTTCTGCTTGGTTGAATATAGAATTCGTTCCTCGAGCGAGTATTCACATCATGTTTATCACTGTTGCGAGCAAACAGTTGCTTGTTGACAAATACATAGATACTTAATTCAAATATAAGGAGACAGGGCAGCGTTAATATCTTCAGCTTTATGAAAAAAGGCTTGCAGGAATCCATTCTCTGAATGCCCATCATACTTCTTACAGCCTTTTTTTGAGCCAGAAAAATATCCTTTGCTGATGTAGATGACCCCCAGAAACATATACCATATCGGAGTCCACTCGAGCAAAGTAGAGACTGCACAATTGATTTAAATTCAAGGTATTTCTCAGTCCTGAGTTGAAAATTTATAACATTTTTTTTACAATGTATTCATAGTGCTTATTCCAGGTAAGACATTCATCAAGAAATACGCCTATTTGACAACCTCCTGATCATCGTCTTTATGATCCTTGTTACATAAATAACTATTATATGAAGGAGAATGCAAATTCTCTACTTCAGAAGATTTTAATTTCAGATTCTTATCGTATGTGTTCAATAGATATAATTTAATGTTCGTCATGGCATATAGCCAGGAAAGTACTTGCTTTCTGTAAATCCATTTTTTATGTTCATAATTATATCTGAGAATAGTCTTTTTCAATACTTTCACCCAATCAAGGGGTTCAAACTTGAACGATGGAAACTTGTTATTTTTATAGACCTTCAATCGCAAATTCGTGATTTGGTTTTCTCAATTCAGTGTTTCTTTCCACGTCCAGTGTGATGAATATCAATTTATCATACATCCAAAAACCAATGGTACTAACTTGTTTCTTGATGGCCGGCGCAATGTTCAACTTCCTCTCTCTGAGCACGATGTTCTCGGCCTCCCGCAGCGGCCTCTTCGCGTCGTCCTCGCTCTCGAAGGTGATGAAACCGTACCCCTTGGACACGCCGGCCCTGTCCTGGATGATCTTCGCCGCCTTGACCGTGCCGTAGCTGCTGAACAGCTGCATCAGCTCGCCTTCGGTGGTGTTCGCCGATATGCCGCCCACGAAGATTCTGTTCGGTACCAGGGTGCCTGCAAAAGGAATTGCTTTTTGAAGTAGTGAAAACTTTTTTAGGCACGTTGAGTACTTTTCGGATGACTAATGACTATTAAAGTGCTCAAAGAATCGAGTGGACCACCGACATTTTTTGCCAATTTTGAATTTGCCAAAATTTTTCGAAATATGAATTATTGATTCTTAATGGGGGACTTCGCTCCAAATTGCCAACCTGAAAACCTCTACCAATGTAGAAGCAACATTATTGAAGTTTTATTACTCTAATAGACTGTTGGCCCGCGACACAGGGTTTATCGATGTTCTAAGTCGGTATGCCATTCAAGGGACCCACTCACTTAGTCCAAGTTAACAGGAAGGAGTGTCTCGGAGAGTCGCAACCCAGTCCTTGCCCCGGCCCTGACCTCACCTTTCGGTTGGAAAAAAGTACAAAATTTTGTTTAAGAAGAAGCTCGGCAATGAAGTGCAATGATCTTATCTCACGAAAATTGGGGCGCTTGCCGGTTTGCATACGCCTAGGTCACTCCCCAAGGGCGGCATACGAACCGGAAGAGGGAATTTTTAAGTGTTATAGTCGATGATCGAAGAATGTATGCCCTTTGGCAAAACAATGAATTCGGACCCATTAATCAGTTTCCCGACATTTGCATACGATTCCGGAGAGGGGAGCTCGACTTATTTGAACATCATTTTACTGAATATCCTTCAAATAATCGATAATCGAAGAAATGTTCAGATTTTGACCATGGTTTGTGGACCACACAGTATATATGAGATGATTGTTTGCATACAATTTGCACATTCCGTACAGGGTGTTTCACCATAAATATCTCCCATTGTAACTTAGTTGTTTCTGAACCGATTTTAAAATTTCAAAAACCAATTAAAATGATTTTCCTAAGAGATTTTTCATTGTTATCGAAAAATTCACAGGCTGTTTATAACAAATGAACTATGGGGTAGTTGTTGATTTTTTTACTGGAACACTATATCTTATCTCACTATCGAGTTGAGATTATCATGACGAATACAGCTCTACAGCATCTAGCGATATCATTTACACGCAGCACTCTTATAACGATCATGCGCCAAATTGTTAAATTATGCCAGAAATATGAATCCCGGGTTTGAAGTATTTATTTTTTTTTTTGCTGAAACAATTTTCATATCTGAACAATGATTTGCTGCGGCAGCCGGGTAGAGTGTAGCACGTGATGATTTAGTAGGCATTCAATAATGTTTTTTCCTTTTGTCGGAGATCCGATATTCAAATATCTCAAAAACCATTCACTTTTGAATAATGTAAATTACAGATTCATTCACTTCTTACTGCCTCCCCTACCAGTGGTGTGAATCGGATTACCAGTAACCCTGTATATAAGTGCAGCGTGTGAATCTTATCGCTAGAGGCTGTAACATAAGCTTCACCGTATTAGTGTAACTTTAGTGTAACTTAGGCTTTAGCTAGTTCATGTCAATGTCAGTATCACTCAATAGTGTCATGTCATGTGTCAATATATACCGCCAGGGAAGATGTAAAAAATACATGATAAGAAAGCACGAGGTGTTGAATAAAAGCCAACTAATAAACCAAACAAGTTTAATTATTATTACAACTTCAATAGAAAGTATGTAACATGGTGGCAGCGGTTAGTGGCACGACAAAACAAAGTCGTTGAACGAGCCAGAAAAAGTATCGATAGGAGGGAAAAGAAAGTGAGGTTAGGAATAACAAAGTACTTCGTCCCCAAGCAATACTAAAACTAAAATGGCCTTCAAACCACCGAAACACTTCACAATTGGAGACAATCCAGCCGCAGAATGGGAGAAATGGCGTCAATCCTTCGAGATCTTCATGGAAGTAGCCGAGCTCGGAACAAAAACAATATCCCAACAAAGAGCTACACTTCTTCATGTTATCGGTCCTACAGGATTAGAGCTGTACAACACGTTTCAGTTCGTGAACGAACAAAACCAACCTCTCACAGGCAATAGCATAACAGTAGAAGTAATACTGAATGCTGTGACACGATTTCAATTGGTACCTTGGTGAAGCTCTTCCAGCAGAGGTTGGTGATATCATAAAATCTGAGACTTCAACTGAGAAAGTATCAGGTATATCTTTCGATCATGCCAAAATTTTTCAATTATTATTCTTACTAACAGGTACTGATGACAACTCTGGAGAATCATCTTCAGACAGCGAGAGCGAAGATAACTCTGAAGATAATGATAGAGAGGACGACGTATAATTTTTCCTTTGAAATATAATGTTGTTTTCATTCAATATAATTTCATTTTCAAATAATTTTTTTATGTGAAAAACAAAACACTATACCCAAAACATTCAACAAATCAAATGTACAGTTTATATATTTTTCAGACGCCAGTATTATGATAAGCAGTCCCATAAGCCCCAGGAAGAATTTCAATTCGATTTATTTGTGAGTTTCGATCATGAGCAATAATCCACCCCTCTTCTCCCTGAACGATTCCTCTTGATTATCCTGCGAGTATCTTGTTGTCAATTTTTTTATCATCTTTTCAAAGCCCTGTTTTCCAAATTAAAATCACACAATACAATTTCTTGGTACTAAACTTCTCACACATGTAATATTGTTGAGCTGTAAATTTCTGATGAATAAATACAAATATATCTGCAATTTGTGTATTTGAATATCCCCATCACTCCCAGGAAGTTAATATTTGACCCGGTTTCATGTAAAGTTAGATTATGAGACTTCCCAATTATCTAGTTCGCTTTCGGTGCACCTCTGGCCTGCAGTGCGGGGCGCCGCGCCGGACCGACGCACGCGCGGGTTTGCCCGATTATTACAACGTATGCTCACATTGAATTCGTATGCAAATAGCATCCAGTTATAAGGAATATCCTAGTTTATCGGTCTAGAGATTTGCATACGAACTTACATCATCGATTATTTGAAAGATATCTAGTCAATTGATGTTCGAATAAGTCGAGCTCCCCTCTCCGGAATCGTATGCAAATGTCGGAAACTTATTAATGGGTCAGAATTCATTGTTTCGCCAAAGGGCATACATTCTTCGATCATCGACTATAACACTAAAAAATTGCCACTTCCGGTTCGTATGCCGCCCATGGGGAGTGACCTAGGCGTATGCAAACCAGCAAGCGCCCCAATTTTCGTGAGATAAGATCATTGCACTTCATTGCCGAGCTTCTTCTTAAACAAAATTTTGTACTTTTTTCCAACCGAAAGGTGAGGTCAGGGCCGGGGCAAGGACTGGGTTGCGACTCTCCGAGACACTCCTTCCTGTTAACATGGACTAAGTGAGTGGGTCCCTTGAATGGCATACCGACTTAGAACATCGATAAAGCGAACTAGATAATCGGGAAGTCTCATAATCTCACTTCACATGAAACTGGGTCGAAGTGAAACTTCCTAGGAGTGATGGGGATATTCGAAGATGCAAATTGCAGATATATTCTTATTTATTCATCAGAAATTTACAGCTCAACAAAATTACATGTGTAAGAGGTTTAGTACCAAGAAATTTTTTTGTGGGATCTAATTTGAAAAACAGGGCTTCGAAAAGATGTTGTAAAGAAATGACAACAAGATACTCGCAGGATGATCAAGAGAAATCGTACAGGGAAGATTCAAATACTTGCTTGATATGTATTTTTTTTTATTTTTATTTATTGAAAATGTTACTTCCAGTCAGAATCAAGTTCTGGTATAAGGAAGTATAGTTAACAATAATACCTAAAACTATACAATTATAATAAACTGATGAATAATAAAATATTTGAAAACATTAATTATTAAATTTTGACAAATCATTTCATATTGCTGAGCAAAAATCAATTTGAATATGAATCAAAAGTAAGTCATCTATTTCGTTCAGAAATGATAATTTTTTTAAGATGGTATTTGAATTTTATTGTATTTCTGCAATTTTTTATATTATTTCATTCGTTATTCTCGGGATGGATAACTTGTTTTTGGATAATCACGGCAAGCAATAGTTTTTTGTATCAAACAACGATATTGTTAACCTTCATTTGATTATCAAGCGACAAACATTGTATTACGGAGAGGAAAACATAATTGCTATTCTTATTGTTGATGTGCTCACTAACCTAACATTTTCCAAGTCTTGTTTCTATAGCTGGCACTGACGCGGTATTTGCCACTAGAGCACCTGGTCCATACACAAATTTATCACTCTGTGATTGTATTTATATTGAAACTACAATGCGAACATCCTTGAAAATTGAATGAACCTGCTGTTGATGCAGGTAGAATGTTCTCACCACACGGATTATTTTTCAATATTTGTTGCATTGCATACATATGGCACGGTATTGGTGGTAACTTCACATATTTATTTGTGTTATTTGTTGCGGTTGCAGAAAAAATAGCATGTTTCATTCGGATCAAAAGTGACTTTGTTCGACTCGCGAATTTTGCATTTGCGAGGCGGAGCGTTTAGCGAAACCGAGCGAATGCAAAATTTACGAGTCGAACAAAGTGTCACTTTTGATCCTAATAAAACAATCTACTATTATTCTTGATGACGTCCAGTAGATCCTTTTTAGTTCCTAGGAGCTAAAGTTCAACTTTAGCTCCTAGGAACTAAAAAGGATCTACTGGACGTCATCAAGAATAAACAACATTGTGACGGTTGGTTATTTGGGTTGAGACGCATACCTGAGTTGTTTCCGATTTCAGCAGATTTGGCATTTCATACCCATGCTGGAGATATAAATACACCATATAATAGTTTTTTAGTATTGGAATTATAAACATCTCAGTTAAGTATTTTTATTTTGATCAGGGAAGCCTTCACGATTCAAATACTTGCTTGATCTGTATTTCATTATTTATTCTCGCGGGATGGATAACTTGTTTTTGTATAATCACGGCAAGCAATAGTTTTTTTGTCTCAAACAACGATATTGTTTAGCTTCATTTGATTATCAAGTCAAACACAGTGTAGTATGGAGAGGAATAAATAATCACTATTATCATTG